TTGACAATTGGCAGAGAAAGAGGAGGGAACCCAAACAAGGTAGGTTCACCAACCAACAACAGTTCACACTTGAAACATACAAGTATTTGTCTCCAATGGGATGACACAGGCATTGTTCTGCAACAGAGTTGAGTTGCTATCTTTCACTGTAATGCTCTATGACTTCAGCTGGGATTTTGATTTAGTAAACAAAGTTGCCATCCACACTGCAGAAAAACCCCACTACTTTATTGCTCATTGGTACCACTTTGATTTATAAAACATCTACTGCCATTTCAAAAGCATGCGACCAGATATTTCTTTAAAGAATACCTTATGCCAATGTATTCCATACTGGAGATCTCTCAGACCAAGCATACCCATTTAAGAGTCTAAATTACAAATTAAAGCTGAGTGCCATGGCTCACACCTGTAATCCCAGCACTTCGGGAGGTGGAGCCATGTGGATCACTTGAGGCTAGGAGTTCCAGATCAGCCTGGGCAATGTAGCAAGACCCCATCTCTCCAAAAAGAAAAATTTAAAAATTAGCCAGCTGTGGTAGCATACATCTATAATCCCAGCTACTTCGGATGCTGAGTCAGGAGGATTGCTTGAGCCCAGTTTGAAGTTGCAGTGAGCTGTGATCACACCATTGCACTCTAGCATGGGTGCACAGTGAGACTTTGTCTCTAAAATTAAACAAAAAAAATTAAACATTGTCACTTTGGGGGTTCACTTGGCATCAGTGCAAATGGAAACACAAGTGTAATGCAAGTATTGGATTCTGAGGGCATTAATTATTCTTGTTAATCCAGAGTATTAACATTTGAGATTACCATGAAAAGACAAACTTGCAAAATCCTCAGAGAACTGGTAGGTCCACTAATGAACCAACCCAAGGTTAGGTCTTTGGAGCACAGAAACTTCCCTAATTCCCCAAGTGCAAACTCACCAACTTCTGGCACCATCAAAATGCCACAAGTATTCATAAACATTTTCACAAAGTAATGTGCTGCTGAGAATTAACTCAAAGGAACAGCTAAGGCTACCTTGACTATGCATGCAGCAAATAGAGCCTGGTAACTTTCCAAAAACAAGCACAGGCAGGGCCCAGGCAACATGTTTCTCAGAGGCAGCAGGTATGAAGCCCTAAAATACTCTCTTCTTAGTAACAAATGAGGCCATGTAGCTCCTTCACCTGGAAAGATTTTCAAAATTAACTCTTTTCAGGAGGGAAACCACTCACTAGTTTAGGACAAAAGACATAACAGAAGCCATCAACCAGGTATTATAGAAGGGAGTCTCACTTAGATAGTAACTGAAGTAACCCCTCAGGGATTAGGGAACAAAGGGAAGAGATTGGGATTAACAGAATTTAGAAGTCTGAAGGAGGGGCCCAGTGGAACTGGGTCCCTGACTTCTGTGTGGGGAGCTGGGGGAGGCCTGCCTCCTGGGCCCTGTCTCTAAGGGGCTGCGTTGAGGCTAATCCAGGAGCTTGGGGGGAACCTGCAAACTGGAACCAACTGCTGCCATGGGAGCCATCCTTGCAAGGCGCCTGCCCCTTTCTCCTTCCAAGCATCTAGTCAGTCCCTTTCCCTGCTGGTTTGCAGAGGTCTAGCCCCAGAATCAAAGCAGAATATGGAAGGGGGCGGGGTTCAAGCTGAAAGACAATAATGACCAGCACTTCCCCTTAAACACTGACTCAGGAGGGGCAAGGATTATTGGTTTGCAGCTAGTAGGACAAGGCTCTAAATACCACACCCCTTTTGAGTTCAAAGTTTCCAAACAATGTGGTATTTTAATGAATCCACCTTGGTAAAAATGGTGTTCACATCATTAGAATCTCACAAGTTACTCTTTACTTATATAGTCATGACTGTCAGCTACTAGTTCTCAAATACATTTTAGATGATTTCAGTTTTTAAAAGACAAAACAGGGTCCATAATTTGCTACCCAGATAAAAGATAATTTCTGATTAAATATTTTCTCTTTTCTAAGTGCAAGTATATGTAAGCCTAAGTCAGAGTGATATAACCCACAAATAATACCAATTTGAGAGCTAGAGAATTTGAGAGTTTAGATGAGGGGGGTCAGCAAACTACAGTGCGTCATATCCAGCCCACTACTTACTTTTGTATAAATAAAGTTTTATTGAAACACACCCACACCCACTTATTTACGGGTGTACACTTCCCCGCAGCTACGCAGAGTACTTACAACAGGCCATATGGCCTGCAAGGCCTAGGTTTGGTCTCTACAAGGAGCAACTGTTTATATGACGCATGAGGTTTAAGAGTTTCTTTTTTAAATAATGAAAACATGATTTACCACACATCTTGAAACATTTAAAAAGGTGAACGTTGCAAGAAAGAAACGTTTTTTAAGGACGAAATTTGATGTGTTTTAATCTGACCAAACTTTAATCTGCTCCACTCCACTCCAAGGCTAAATCACTGAATCCCAGTTCAAACTCCTATGGGAAGAGGGACCCTGAACATAATCAAAATGTACCTTTGCAACTTACCTGAAATGCTTTGAGAAGAGAAA